TCAACCAGGGTCACAGCTAATAAAATCTGTCATACAAAACTATATACACAGATATTAGAAGTTTCAGGAAACAAGAAACTCAAAAAAAAAAAAAAAAAAAAAGAAAGTTTTGGGGTTATTTTGGCACTTTTCAAGCAGGTTTTTCTTTTATATCACAAAGCTGTTGAGCCAGACCAGCTGAGGTTAATCAGCATAACTCCATTGACCTCCTACAGAGAAGGTGTTTTGCACCAGCTACAGATATGTGTTCTGATGCTCTTGCTGCTGAAATCCCAGGGTCTTTTATCTGTCCTTGGCCTCAGACTCTTAACAAAGTATCTTCAACAAAGGGTTTTCTGAGATAAATGCAACTTAATAGCTTCAAGTTTTTATTAAATGTAGTTTCCATCATCCCAGGCAGTGATGTCTCTGAACTCCTCCACCTGGGTGTTACTGCAGCCAGAGAGCTTTGTATTTAAGAGGACACACCCCAGGAACATCTGAGTTAAAGCCCACATTTCTTTTCCATTATCTTGTCCCACATTCTCATAAGCTTAGGTCACGTATGTCTTACAATAAGGCAGACTTTTTTCCACACTTGCCTCTCCACATGTCTGGTGGCTCAGGCTGGATCCACAAAGCCTGGTACCTTCTGGAGGGACACAAGAGGGACCTGCCATGGTGAGTTGTGCTGGTGTGTCCTCCTCTCCCCCTGTTCTCTGTTGGGCAGCAGCTACCTGTGACTTCTCTGCTGTAGACAGTGCAGCTTCTTGGCACAACACCCTTCATTATGAAGAACATTAGGGACCATTTCCTGCTGGTATGGCATGGAGCCTCTGCATGCATCTGGGTGGCACCCTCAGCAAGAACCAAGAGCTGAAAGTATTAGTTTTCACAAGGGTTATTCTTACCTCTCCCAAAATGTTTCCCACCATGGTAGAGTGTGATTTCTGAAACAAATATGTTCTGTTTATTTATTTAATGTGCTGTTAAATGACCTTCTGTAAAGCTATTACTGCCACAAGGCTTTAAAATGGATGGGCAGGCATAACTTAAGAGAGCATGCTCCTTACAATCAGGATGAATCATTTGAGTAGTTACTGTTTAGATTGATATAATTTTAGTTATAATTATGGGTAACGAGAAGGCATTTAGAGTCTGTAATATTGTAATTCATGGTGAGAGGAGTCCTAAATGAAATAAAATATATCCAGATTTGCTTTTTCTCCCTATCTAGGTATTATGCACGTAAGCATGATTCTTTAAGGAACAGATTTTCTGCTGCTGTAAAAATCTAGCAAAAGTAGGTCAAAAATGACATCTAGAGATAACATGTTTGGTAACCACAAAGGGACTGTCTGTGTCTTTCTTTTTGGCCTTTTAAGAGCCCTATAACATATTACTATAGGTACAGCAGCAGCATGAAAAGATTTTGATCCATAGACTCCCATGGCCTGTGGTGGGTGGATCACAGGTACATACTGTCACTTTTATTATCCCATTACTCTAATAGAAGATGATAAAATTATATTAGCAAGGATCGGGGAATGTAAAAAAGAACATAAACACATAAACCTGCTGTCGTCTGCCTGGCTCTAGAGTACCACCACACCTTGGACTGTGCCACTCAAGTGGTTGGTGTGCTCCTGCTGAACCCAAAAACCAAACAGTGACAGCAATCCCCAAGTGAAGGGCTTGAAAACCACCCCATGAGCAGACAGCCCATGTCATTTGGTTAGTGTGGCTTTTGGCCATGGAGAGAAAGGGGCAAAGGAGGCTAGAGGGAGAGAACGAAAGCACGGGGTTTGGCACGTGTGTGCACGTGTGAGTGAGCTCACCACAGCTCTCACGAGCCAGGAGCCATGTGGGGACGAAGCAGCACAGCTGAGCAGTGCTGGTGCCAGCCCGCGGAGGCCGGACACATGGCGATTAGCTGTTAACATGCAGTTGACAGTTGTCTCTGATCGCAGACATGTTTGAGAGCTCCTATTTCAGAAGTTTCACAGCTGTGTTTGTACAGCAAGATCTGAATGAGGAGAGGGAAGCTGTGCCACGGGCAAGGAATGGGAGAGTGATTGGTAGAAGGAATCCTGAGTCCTGACACATCTGCATTAAAATAGATACAACTTTTCACATCTGCTGATGGCTTGATAATTAATGTTAAATAAAAGCAAAGCTTCAGGATCTGCAACTGATATTTCACATATGCTGTACAAGACATCAGCATAATGAACACCCTCAACCACATTTTCATAACATAATTTAAGTGAGAGGGTTTTCTTTATGGTGCAGGTTGAACTACATTTCAACAACAGCCCAGGAAGCAGCAAAGTTTGCCCATCAAGTGCTGTTTAAATGTCCAAGCTGCTATGCCCTAGACTGGGTGACAAGCTCTCCACATACTCCCTGAATCTCTTAGCAACTTGATAATGAAATACATAAACTATGACCCTTATTGATCAGAGCTCACACTAATTAATTTCCCAAAGTCCTGTCCCAGCCTGCAGTGATATCAATGCAAGGGGAAAATAACCCAAGGATGGAGACTTCAGCTGGCCAAAAGACCTCAGGGTGAAGTACTTATCCCATTGAAATCAATACCAAGTCCCAATTGATTTTAATCATGCACGGATAGTACCATTAGTCAAGTGTATGGACGCTTAGCCCCAAAAGTTTGTACAGTTGTCACAAATGGCTTTTATAGCAGTGCTGAACCATACCTGCCTGCACACACAGAGCAGTACAGAGGCTCCCCTTCAGCTCCTGGGTGCCTCGTTCCATCTTAACCTTTCTTCCAGCAGCACGGCCAGTTGAAGAGGTTTCCAGCCTTCCCCGCTGGCTGTGCAGCCCCAGCCCTGCACTGGGCCCTCCTGCTGGGGATTGTGTCATACCATAGGGTGGAAATCATAGAAAGGAGCAAGGACTGGAGTGGGTTTGTTGCCAGAAGTGTTTGTTGTAGACCTACACCCTGTCCGATGTGCCTCTGTTAGCTCTACCAAGGTTTAACAGTGTCCTTAATGTTGCTCTGTACATGCTACCCTTGTGATGGGGGAGAGACCGGGAGTATTACTAACCTGATTTTACAGCTGGTCTAATACAAAAGCCTAAGGGCCATCGTTGCAATGAATTAAAAAGAAAAGGAGGCAGGAGTTTGGCTTCTCAGTTTTCCAGTCCAAGCCCTTGATAAATATTTCCCACTGGCAGGGAACCAGTACTCTGCAGTTATTTTGCTTCAAACCAAGTCTACTTCCCAGATTTAGCACTTTCAATAATACTACATGCTGCTTAATCGTCCTAATGGCATTCTGGAGGCAGAATTGAATTAATCAGGAGTTGTCGCTCTTGCATTCAGCCGTTTCACCACTGTCCTTGTTGGCTTATGCTGGACCAGCCCATAGTGTCCCGCATCCATGAGTTAGGCAGATGCTCTGCATGTCAGAGCCCCTACAGAGCTTGGTATGCTCCAAGGCAGGACTAACATGGCATGCCACAGGTAGCTTTCATCCTGGTGAAGGCTGCAAAAATCTACTCAGAAAGGTAAATTCCAGTGCCTGTACCACCTCTGCAGTCTGCACTTGGACCATTTGCAGAAGGTGATTCTGCAGCTGAGAGCTTGGCCAGAAGCAGAGCCAGCTCATGGCATTACCATATTTTAGCTCTAGGCATTGCAATAGTAAGGCTTCTGGATTTCTTTAAAATTCAAACAAGGTGTAAACTGACACAGCTTTGTCCCTTTGCAGTGAAAAATAGTAGCTTTGCAAAGTGTGAATTGCTCTGGAGCCTTACCTCTGAAACCTAAAGACAACATTTTAAAGTGTCAACATGGATTGCTTTTAGTATCTTTTAAGTGGACCTAAGGTATTCACCACAATTTCAGACTGGCTTCCAGGCATCCTCAGTTGCCAAAAGTCTCCACATTCAGCTGCCAAAACCTCTTCTTCCCTTCCAGCAATTTCTCCATAGCAGGTTTGGGTTGCCAACGCAACACTCGGCATCACTGTGAAAACTGAAAAGGTGAAGATATTGTAAAACAAACCAAATTATGAGCTAAATAACATGAAGTCAATGGGCTTTTTTGTTTTCATATGGAATTCTTTTGAAAGCTGAGTTTATTTTACTTTATTTAAAGCTACTACTGAATTTCCAGTTGATTTAGCCAGAACACAGGGAACACACCGCAGGATTTGAGTTGTGTTTGCTGAAATGTCCATGGCCTTGAACAGATAATATATTTTTCAGTAACATATTTCTCTTTGCCTACTGCTGGTCTTTTTTTCTCTGTGCTCTCTGCAGATTGACTTTCACTGTACTTATTGCCTGCCTCATTTCTCACCCTATTTTTCCAGTTGTTTTTTCTACTGCTTCTCACAGTATCTTTCTCCCAGGTTATAAGCAAAAAAGAACTCTACTTTGGGCTGAACTTTTAAACCCACATCTTGAAATTAAATAAAACAAGCACCTTCTGTCTCTATGTAGAAGCAACTTCACAACTCGAGTCACTTAGCACTTTTAGTAGCTGCAGAATGGAACAGGTCCGTTGGAAGAACGGAGGCTCTTAGCATTAAAGCTGGAGAGGTGCCACAACAACCAGAAATAACACAGCGATAGTCGGGTAATTAAACACAACGTGGGTACCAAGATGTTGAACTCACCATGAGGATTTTAGAGTATATCTTGGCTGGTAGCAGAAAGAAGCTCATTATAGTGTCCAGGTTTAAGTGACATGGGGGAAAAGCAGAGATACAGAGGAACATACTCAGTGGTCCAGGCAGAGCCACAGCATCAGTTGGAGTTTACCTACTAATCCCCACACAGTTACAGACCTGAGGATCTGGGGGTTTTATTCTCACTCCTGTGTCCTTGCTTTTTTTGAGCCTATAGATGGACAAAGTAAAGCAAAGTTGTCTCATTTCCAGAATTTTCTATTGATAAAAGTAGGCATTCAATAAAATCTGGAATAGTGATTGGAAACTTGGTAACAATAGTTATTATAATAACAGTTATTAATATTCTGCTTGCAGGACGAATGCCTTAGTTCCAGCTCTCCAGCCCAGGCTTCCCGCACCCTGCACGGCACTCCAATCCTGACATTGAACTCCCAGCAACCTGGCCCACGAAGACTGCCAAAAAAACTCCAGCTATTCTTCTTCATCCTCACTAACAATTTGGTAATGAAGTATTGATTTCCACTCCCCTGCTTATGGACGATATTAGATTTTCATTGATAAACTGCACTGGGGCTGTCTGGTCTCCACTGTCCCTTTTTGCTGTCACTAAAACAAAGTGCCACTGAAGTAAGATAATGACTGAGAACATTGATGTACTTATTTTGTCAATTTGTAACACTTGACAGGAAAAAAAAATTCTTCATAGTTTAATGTCCAAGTGTGCTACACAAGATGCAGTCACACTGGAAGCTTTACTTTTCATGGTAATGTCCATTTCCTATTTATAACCCCTTTGGGATAGTTTGTCTAAAGGAAATGTTTCTATTCTGTGCAGCTATTACTGTTGCACCTGGGTTGCCCAATCCAGTCATTGCACTAGGGATCAATACATCACAGTAAGTACAAGAATTATTAAGTTAAAACAGATTCTGAGCCAAAAAACCTCTGAACAATGTTAATCTTCTGTGCAAGTTGTTCAAATAGTTATGCTTAACCATGTTGCTGCCAAAGATTTGTTTGAAATGGATTATTTTCAGTTTGTTTTATTCCTCAGATATATATATATTTAAGTCTCCATTATGGTTTACGATGAGACATATGCAATGGAGTGATTTTTAAAACAAAAGTACTATTATTAGATTATTGAACATTATATAAATATAGGTATATCTATATATAAATATCACTATATAAATATCTATATATAGATATAAAAGAACAAAAGTAGAATTCCTTTCTCAGTTAGGTGGGTGTAAATCTGAAGTTCTCTGTTAGAGTCGGTGGAGTTGCATTGGATTTATGCCACCAGAAAATGAGATCAGAATCTGGTCTTCATGCTCTCCGGCCGACCTGGCACAGATGGGCTGAGAAGCACAGCTGACTTCAAGTCAACCGAGACCTGGGGAGAAGGGGGCTACTAAGATGGCAATTTCAAATTTGTGCTTGTAACTTTTTTCATTAAAACTTTGAGGTCCCTGTTTTAATTTGTGGAATATTCCCGTTAATAATGAGATCTAATTAAGACATCCATTAAAAGCCCGTTAAAGTTAATTTAACGTAAAAATTCCAATAGAACTGTATTAGATTTTCTCCATTAAATTAACGTTATGGATTTTTAACGGATGTCTTAATTATACATTATTATTAACGGGAATACTGTATTACACAGATTAAAATCGGGTCCCGAGTCAACTCACAAAATCTTCCAGGATATGCTAATGTCACGAGTCTCATGTTACCTAGTGCACTGCTTGGAAAATCAGGCACAGCCCTTTTTGCTCTCGCTGAGCATTTCCTTGCAGCGAAAGCAACCTCCAGTAGACAAACCCATCTCTGTGTCCAGTGATGAACTTCCCTTATCCTCAAAGGAAAAATAAGTCTGCATCAGGTTGCAAATCACTACTCCATTGCAAATGAAATATTCAAAGTATGCTAGGCACAAGTTGAGAAGAGGATCATTCTCAAATAAGAGAGAGCTTTGGGGTGTCTTTTACTCTTGTTTTTGTTTAGATGTTGAAGGATATAATTGCAGTGCAGCATTCACGAAATCAGACTAAACATGTTTATTGCATTCCCTGTGGCTTGTGCAGAAGGACCTGTTTTGGCATTGTTTGGGAAATTTTGACATGATCCCTAAACTCAACATGGAGGAGAAAAAAAAGGCCCTTCTTATTTACCTCCTAGGGAAAGTGTTGCCCTTATGCCACATATAATAGCAAATTGCTTTTTTTATGGCATGCATAACCTAGATGGGAAAAAATATGGCGCTTGAGGGAAGGAGGGAAAAAGTAAATGAAGTTCCAGGAATGTCATTCTGAAGTAATGAGGCATGGACAGAAAATATACCCCTCACATCATCGGATTGAGATGGCAGTCGAAATAGCTTCATTGAAGTGTCAGCACTCATCCATCAATCAATCATCCACAAGGAAAAATAGCGACAGTACAACGGGGCGGCTTTTATGGGATTTACTCATGGGCATAGGGAATAGCAGCTCAAATGTAGTTCTGACATGAAAAGCAAGGTGCTGATATTATTTTTTATGATGGGAGGATCATAAAGTGAATTGAGAACAGTGAGGTCTGTCTTTGCTTAACCTATTCAACTGGAAATGAATGGAGCTCAACTGGAAACGAGCAGAGCCTTCAGATGGGTTAAGATTGAAGCCTGTGCCGTGCTGAGCACCAGCCATTGACAACAAAATTCTATTAAAGCAAAATCAATGCATTAGCACTGAGCTCCTCAGAAGCTGTTAAATTGCACAGCCCAGTTCAGAGTTATTAAGTGAAGTTGCACAAGGTGGGTCCTGTGCCCCAGACCCAAAGGCAGCAAGCACCACGGTAAAATGCCTCCTGGGATAAATCATGTGTGTATCTATCTCCAGCCCCACTCTTTTTTGGATGCTCTAGGAAAAAATATTTGGCTTATCGTGGCATCCAATGGGTGACGTTCCCACTGACTTCAGATGACCCTGATCCTGCACCCTGTGCGGGGCCATCTGCTTTGGTAGAAACCCTCTGTGCAGTATGCTTTGCTACGTCCGAGCCACACGGATGCCAACATCGGCTGCTGCTGGGAGTGAGGAGGACACTTCCCACAAAAGGGTGGCCCACAGCATCCAAGAATGGGGCTCTTTGGGGCACCAACTGCTCAATTTTGGCAGAAAAGAGGCTTTCCTGGTGCCCCAAACCCAGTGAGCAGTGGGGTGGTGATAGGAAACATGGTCCCACCATCACACATCCCCAACTGTGCTGGCACCTGGGACTCCGCAGCTGAGGACTGGTGCACCCAAGGGAGGTTCAGCTGTCCCAGAGGCATGTTCTGCTCAGGAAGCTTCACTCCAACACAGGCAAGTGTGGAAATAGCTACTTCATTTAAAATCTGGCCACAAACCTTTATTACACAGTGCTAAACCTTGATTATTTTGCCTGCATCGCTGTCTTCTGGGAACATTTTAGGTACATATTTGAATTAAGTGACTTTTTTTTTTTACAATATGATATAAAAAAAGTATGTCTCTCCTCTCTCCCTGCATGAAACTGGATGAGGTGATAGTTTATCTGTCATATAAATCAGGTAACACAGAAAATCATTGCATCTTTTCTCTGTCGTATCTACTCAATATCTATCTTTCTGACTTTTATTCTTATTGGAGATCATCAAAAACATTAATTAAAAGCCTGGTGATCAAACAGCCAAATATTTATGATTCAAATCCTTGCTTATTAACAAGTGGCATATTGATACACCACATATCCAAGCTCTTTATGCTCTTGCACTGCAATAAAGCAGTAAGAAGTGTTATCCTTATGCACTGCTTTGAGAGATTTATTCAGGAACCATAGTTTCCTTCCCACCACCATCCATGTCAAACTAAACCATATCACCTTAACAAACATGCTCTGTTTTAAAAGAGAGAGATGTAATTAGCATCTCTTTGGAGCCTAATACATAAGAATTTCAGTGAATCACACTCAGGTGTTTTTTCCAGGATCTTATTATTTAAGCTGAGAGGGAGAAGGACACTTACTTTTAAAATTGGCTGTCATTAGTACAGTAATAATTGTTGGTTTAAAAAAGCTCTCTGAGAATCTACTAACAAACCTGTCCAGTGATTACTTGTCAATGCAACTTGTCATGGGCTTTATTGCCTACTTGTGAAAGTATTTACACGACTGACCTCCCTAGCTTTTTCAGCGATCATGGAGGATGGAAGGAGTCATTTTAAAAATCAATAATTATGTATTAACATGATAGGGGTTGAAGCCTTCCAAGCCAGTTTTACAGGCTATTGAGTCAGCCCTAACACATTCAGATGGCAAGGACTGTTTCCTTCAATTTTTGGTCTTTTTTTCTTTCCCTAATTGTGTCCTGATAAAAAGCCAGATTTATTGCCTAATTAATACCCACAGTTCAGTTCCTAAAGTAGAAAGGAATGTTCTCCATGGCTTTGCAAGGAAAGTGAGCTGCCCTTGGTTAGCAGGAAAGTACGAAAGGAACAGGTTTTGTGCAGGGCAGTTTCTGTGTGAGAGCTACCCAAGGGGACCATTTCCTTTCTGTAGAATTGCCCTCTGCTAATTCCCAATGTCCCAGTCCTGCCATGAAGGTGCTGCTCTGGTTCAAGCACAGCTGCTCAGGTCAACCAGTTGCTTTGGTCTTGCTGTGAATATTGTCTTGCAACCAAACCTGCTAAGAAAACACAAGGGGATGGAAGATGGCAACCTCATTTTGGCAGAGATTTATTCCCAAGAAAAAAACGACTCTGTTCAGTGTCGGAGGCCAGGCTGGGCTGAGGCCACTGTCCCCTCCCTGCTGCCATCATAGCTCTCAGGCTGGAGAAAGCGCCGTGGCTAAGTGGAGTTGGATCTCGTCACACAGGGCTTTTGCCTTCACAAACAGATATACGATGCAATTTATATTTAAAATTCTCTCTATAAAGACAGTATTGATCACAGATTCCAGATCAATATGTTGCAATTACAGCAGGCTTTAGAGGCCATCTGTCCCCAAGCAAGAGCCCTGATATAACCACCTCTATATATTTTGAAAAGCATTACTGATACGTGCCCATCTTCTCACAGTACAGCCTAACATATTACTTTTGCTCCCAGGATGTGTGTTTAGGAGCTACATAGTTGTCATTCCTGGCTATTGGCCATCCAAGAGGCCTCAGACCAGCTTTTTGTTCAGTTTCAAAGCCACAATGGGGTCAGTGACAGTGTGGTTTTGCTGGCCTGATTTTCCTGCTCTCCCTCACAAGTGATCCCACAGGTTGCAACTTTCCTTTTTGCCAAACCTCTGTTCTCAGTTGGGAATGACCAATAAGAGGTTGCTGAATTTCACTAAAACTAAAAACTTTTCAGTAATGGTGGTGAAGAGTTGGAGCTGGACATTGAGAGGTGTAGACTGAGCCTTTTGATATGTGACATTAGACCACAGTGAATAGAACATTTGAAAGTTGTACCTGTAGAATAAATGACATGCATCTGAAGCTATATTTCAATTCACGTTTCATCAAGCTGAGGCCCTAATTTTTCAGCACCTGGAGTCAAGATAAGTCTCTCTGTTGATGGCCCTGATGAGCCATTGTGTAGAAATGCTTCCTGGATTTTCTTTTTTCTTCTTAATTATTCCCTGCAGTGGTTGACTTCATACAAGCACATAGAAATTAAGGATTTTATTCCCCAATTGCCTGCTGAAGTGAAAGAATACAAAATAAAAACAATGGGTTTATGGTGATAATAAAAAGCCAACATACCTTTGCAAGTGAACATGCGCCAAGCATAAAACCTGGGTGTGCATCCCACACGCACTGTGCCGTGTTGTGCCAGCATGTTCCTAATCCTCCCTGCAGCCGCCTCCCTCCAACTTCATTTCAGCCTTCAGCTTTATACCAATATCTAAAACACAGAAGCCAGATTCTGAATGCATTTATTCCAGTGTAAATCCAGAGCTACTCCTTTGAATTCAGTATATTTACCCTCTGCCTACGTGACTCCAAACACTGTCCTTATGCTCCTAACCGGGGATTCCTACCATGTTTATAGATGGTTGTGAAAACATCTTCAGCAACCAGTCTCTAGCTCAGCACAGATTAAATCTAAGGCACAGGCTGCACTTCAGAAGTTTTATAGTTATGTCAGGGAAGTGAGTGCAAAACTTTGTTATTGATGTGACTATGCTGGTGAAAGTCCTCATGTAAAAACAGTTGTGTCTCTATAAAGCACTTTATACTGGTACAGCTTATTTTGCTTTGCTAGACCACTTTTATACCAGTGCAAGCACTTTTATCCCAGTATCCTTCAGTAGATGAGGCTGAAGGTAACACTGGTGATTCTTGCTCAAAAGTGTCTGTCCAATATTTTCTTTGAGAGCATTTTTAAAAGTGAAATAGCTGTACCACTGGAATTAACTGCAGAGTAATAAACTTCCAGTTCATCATCACTCTCAGCTCATGAAATGTCTTCAGGCCTTTGCAAAAAGCCCTGTTTGAGACAACAGATTAAATACTAATCCTGGCAGATCGAACATCTCCACTTGAGCCCAATACCATCTAGCTGAGCAAACTTTTTCTTTTTTACTTTATTTTTTTATCTAAGTAAAGGCAACAAATTCTTTCATTAGATGAGATAACAGGAAAAAAAAAATCAATATTTTAAAAAGAAAACAAAAATAACATCGTGCAAAAATGCAGCTACACTAAATGCAAGGAATGCTTTTCCTTGAAAGCCACATCCCCACATGGGCATCAGCCCAGGTGAGGGATGCATTTACAGTACTTAAACATCCTTGCAATTGTCTCAAATGTGGAAGATTTATATGGGCACTTACTAACTACTCATGTAACATTAAAACAATACATACCTGTATATATCAAGGTAGATTTGCAGTGAGATACAGACCTTTTCTCCTATACATACTCACATGCTTTTGCACACATAAGGTATAGTGTGCGGGTGTGTGTCTGCTCATGAACAGGCAATGATGCTGGGGCTGAAGTAACAGCTGGGCACTGCTGGCACCAAGTGAGGCAGCAGATATCTTCAGGATGTACAGCACAGTATTTTGGCTTTATAATGCAGCAAATGCTGGAATGTGCAATACAGGTTGCAAAAGCTGACAAGCTAAACAGTGCTTATTTGGCTCAGGGTACTTCACTGTCATATGTCTCTGGTACAATGTGCCCTTTTGTCTCTAGTGCTCAGGCACCACTTCTTAATCCTTTTGTGTTTGGTTTTTTTTTCTGTACATTTGTTCTGGTTTTTATTATGCTGAATATGTCAGCAGCAATCATGAGAGATCCACCCCCATTCTAAATAACAAAGCATAAGTGGCCATAATAGTAAATCTGATGGTTTTGCTCTGCCCCAGCGCTTGTGGTATGTAGTAAGTTTGTTATTGGCAGCATCTTCAGGTTACATCTGTGACCCATGGTGTTAGGTCTAGAATTTTGTTTAAAAAATAATAATAATAATTTAAAAAAAAAAAGAATCAAACACTCATTTCTCTTAAAAAAAAAATAAATGTATATACTACAAATCTCAACCCGGAAAGATTAAACACATTTTTTATATGAACAACGCGAATGGGACTCCTTTCCGAGAGGACTCACAGTGACTTTATCTGTAGAATGTTTCAGTGCTTCTGCACTCATTTTGTAACAAGTGCATGCTGTATAGAATATATTGCCTGTATACTTAGAGTGGAGGGGGGGCCAAGCTGCTTTTCATTGTGTACTGCAGCTTGTTTGGATGAAAAGTCGCGCCTTTGATGCATTTTTATACTGTACATATTTGTATATATTAACTCTATTGCCATGTTCTGAACACAGATTTTGTTATATTTGCTTGTTTCGGTTTCCTACAAAAATTGGTCCATGACAGGAAATACTCTCTTTTTTTTTATATAGAAAATATGCTTGTAATTTCTGTTTGTTTGTTTTCTTGGTCATCATCTTTTAATGGCTCATAAAGGAATTCGAGATGAGTTTTCGGAGGAACTCTGAAATGCAAGTCTGTGTTTGCATGAGACCTGCCCAATTGCTGGCTATAAAGGGGGGCGGGGGGAAGAGGGGAAATCTAAGTCAAGTTTTGCTTTTAAAGCATGCTAGTCCCACGGGAAAACTCATACATGTACAATTATTCTCTTTGTATTTTATCTAATAGTGCCTGAATTATTATTATTTTTTTTAATATCTTCTTGGAGGAACAATTCATAATTGTCAAACTTTGAAACATTAGCTTAATTTTGTTTTCATGACCTCTCATTTCTCCTCCTTATTTATTTTGTTGCTGTTTATAATGGGCCCCAAGGCCATTTCTGACATTGCAGTGTTCTTCTTCCACATTAAGGATGTTTTTAAAATTACTAAGATTATTGAGCCAACAGGCTGTTTTAATCAAAACCATGTTTCACTTGGGTTTGATGATTACGAATGGTCCCTGCAATGGCAGAACCCTTTCTGCTGGGAGGACCCTACCACCTAGTGGCCCCAAAGCATCAGCACAGAGATGCATCTTCCCGATATTCCCTTGCTTTCTCAAAGGCAGGCTGGCAATTTTGCTTCAAATTATTTGCTTATTATAACTAACTTAAACTAAACAAATTGATAATGTTAATGGCATTTTTTCCCCCCTTTGGTTGATTGCTAAATAAATTCGTATAATTTATACTAGAGGAGATTACTGCTTTTATTGTTTTGGGTTCCCCCAAACCAATTATTAACAATCAGGACTATGTATCTCATTAAATTTAAATCAGGTCAAACCTGTTTATCTAAGGCCTTTTCTGATACAGGAAGACGACTGTATTCCAGTGCATTTAAGATGTATTTCTGTGTATGATTTTGCGGCATTGAAATCTACGATTCTATTCATGGTGATTTTTATTTCTGTATTTTTACCATGGTAAATATATTGTAAAAACAACAACAACAAAAAAATCCCTCAACTTAACCATAGAAAACATCACTTTTTATGGCCAGGGATATTTTTTTTTTTTATAAAATCACTGCAGTTTTAGAACTGTAATTAAAGCCCTGAATAATAAATCACACATCTTTATCTGTTGTGTTTAAAAGGAAAAAAAATAGCCCAAACTGTTCACATAATCCTGAATGCCTCATTTCCATAAAAAAGGTTTCTATACATATATTATTTACATTTTTAAACATGGTAATTCTTTCCTTTGTGGCATAAAATGTCTCTTTTCCACTGCAGCTATTGGAAAGCGACTGCTCACATCTGAAATGTTATCGTAATTTGCATCAGGAAACCCAACTGCAGACATTAAGGACTTGGGTGTGTTCAATTATGATTTTGCTGGAGGCTGTCCCTCATTTTAATGCTGCACTCATTGAACTACCTTTCTGAAATCTAGCTGATATGGTTCACCATAGACATGCTTCACAACATCATTAGCTTTGCAAATGGCTTCATTTCAGTCAATGCAGACTTCAGTTTTGGCCAATTGTAAAATGGAAATTTGAAAAGGAAAAAAAAAAAAGAAAAAAAAAAACAGATGCACTTAAAACATGAAAAGAATTATTTATATGATAAAAATATATTTAGATTTTCAAAGCACAAGACTGAACAGAAGTGCTCTTTTTATGCTTTCTGAAGATGTTACTGTTAAAAGTCTTTCTACATCAGGCTTAATAAATCTGTAATGACATTTGATGGATTGATTTTTGTGTGGGTTTTTCTTTTCTTTCTTTCCTTTTTTTTTTCTTTTTTTTTTTCCCCTTTCCTTTCTCTGCAGGGAGAAAAAAACTGACCTGGAGAGGCTGTGGGAATAGAAAAACCACAGGAGTGTGCCTGTTTCAGTACAACTCAGGAACAATTTCTAGCAGCCTCCTTTCACTTAAATAATAATCACTTAAACTAAGGAAAAAGGAAAATCCAGCTCCGCACCCTGCATTTGTTTCTACGGATCTTTTTCCTTTCCCTCATCTGGCTCCTCTGACCACTCCATGCCTGTGTTATTTATGGTGTAATCTACAGCGAGGCATTGGGCTGCTGTCACACAAATTCAAGGCTCGCTAGCCATAAACCAGGCATGATTGAGATACCAAACACCCTTCTCCCGGTGCTCCACCTCAGACAGATGGCTCTGTTTAACACTTAGTTTCCCTAAGCACTCCCTCGTCCCCCGTAACGTCCCTGGGAGCGGGGTGATGTGTCACACACCCGAGTGCGGCGGCGCACGCCGCTGCCGCCCCGGCCCTGATGGATTATTGACTGCCAAAGAGAAGCAGCTTTCCATGGCAGAGAGTCCAGGCTTGTGCTCGGTAAGGTTGGACGGGCGCAGTCTCACCTGTAGCCGTGTTCAATTGCCACTGCTCCTCCTCGCCACGATGAGCAGCAGAGCCCATCTTGCATCAGCCTGGCTGCTGAAGCGGCTGCAGTCCCGGGGGCCGAGCATCCTATGCACCTGGTCCCTGGCCACTGGAGGAGAGGATGGGTATCCCCACACTTGTGGTAGGGAGAGCAGAGAGGAGGAAAGTGCAGGGTGAGCTCCCCTCACTCCACCATCACTTTCTCCTCTGATATCCTCCTGCCTTTCCCAAGTCCCTCTCAGGGTCCTTCCAGCCTGGCTTGGAGGTCAGGAGCCACCAAGGCATCACTCACCCCTTCTTCAGCTGCCCATGACCATTGCAAGGCTCTGCACCCTTCTACCACCACACACTCCTTGGTGTGACCATCCCACACCAGCCCCCCCATGGCTGACCTTTAGGAGCCCCCATTCAACCTCTACACACCAGGTGGTTCGTTAGCAAATATGCTTAGGAGACAGTGCCTTGGATCCTGCAACACTGACTTTTTTAAGTGAATTTTGTTTTTTTTTTTAAAGGAATATATTGCACACATTTCAAGAAACCCCTCTAGGGTAAAATAAAAAATATCTATAGATGGCTAAAATAACAAATGAATCATAAAACTTAGAGATGGAAAAGGACTATTAGATCATCCAATTTATCTTGCTGTCTGCCAATACAGGTTTGCTCCCCACAGACCGCTCCCCAGGGCTTTGTCTAGCCTTTCTGACTGAACTCCAGCATGGGGTCCTCTACCACTTTCCCGGGAAGAGCAGTTAATGGTTCAGGCATGTTTTATAGGTACAGGGCCAAATCCTGGCCTGAAGGGAGCCTCACCTGACAGGCACAAGGCGCTGACCCCGAAGCAGCAACACCCGTGCCACTGGAGCATGTTTTCCCCTGCTGCCCTTGCTCATGACCCCTGGCTCATGCCATCCCGTGGGGCTGCGGGGCCAGGACTGTGGTCCTCAAGGAGCCCTGCCCACCCTGTCCTGGAGCCCTGCATCATCCAGCCTGTGCTGCAGCGTTCCCATGTGGATGGAGACTGCCAACTGCAGGCAGCTCTCAGCAGGATGAAGAGACTGATCTAATTTATTCCAAGGGTTTGAACTCGTATCTGTTGTCTGTGTTTTCTTAATTATTGGTGAGACACTCCAACAGGAGAGCAAACAAACAAACAAAATCAAGCCCTCAGCTTCTCAGATGGATGTTTTGGCTACAGGGCAGCTTTGAAAGCTGGTTCAGTTGGGTTTGCTTGCTTTTTTTTTTTTTCTGTTCCTTAAAACTGTCTTGATTTAATAAAAGTTCAATGTTTTCATAGGAAAACCAGGCTGGGCCGTTTGTGATTCTTTACGTACAACGAGGATATTGCATTATTCAACAATTCAGGAATAAATCTAATTCTGCCTACCTTTGCATTTAAATGGCTGGTCTAACAGTGAGGTCTGGGTGCTAAGGAGACATCGATTAGCCCTGGAAGGGCACCAGGGCTGCGGTACGGAGGAGTTCATGTGGGACATCAAGTCTATGGGAGGAAGGAGAGGAGGGCTTGGCCAGGGGCTGGGGCTGTGGGATTACCTGGCCTTCTGGAGACCACTGAACGGGAAGGGCCCACTCTTTGCTCTGAGGTTTAACAGCAGAGAAGTGCCACACAAACTGGCTGCCCTCACACACATCCCCTGTCAGTGCCCTGATCCCCCATGGATGAGGTGGAACTGGGGCTGGGGACCCCTCTGCATGGGGCCATCGCTTGACAGCTGGGCATGACTGTGGCTCATCCCATGTTCCTGAGGTGTCCTGTGGCAGGGCTGCTGAGCACAGCACAGCCGGCACAGCACCCCGAGGGGATTCTGTCACACAGGGCACTTTGTTAACAAGATTTATGGTTGGGAAAACAAAAGTTTGGAGGCACACAAGGCGACCCTGCGTACCTGCAGCATCTGGTCCCTGCTCACACTGGCTCCTCAGCCCCAGCTCAGAGGCAACTCTGGAGCAATCAGCATTTTTAACTGGGCTCCAGACCTCATGGACAGAGAAGTAATGAATATCACAAGAAAAACAGTCCAAAAATGGAGTAGTAAAGTTCAGGCTGCATGGAGCTGGTCCTTACCAGCGGCACCAAATGCACAGCAAGACTTAGGCTACGTGTACCCAGGGGCTGAACAGGCCCCTCCTCAAACTATGTCTGCTCGCATGCCCTGCTTTTGGTGATCAGCAGCACAATTGGCACCACAAACGAGCAAGCAGGAAAAGGGATGTGCTCATATGGGATTCAGTAAGAGGATACAGTGGTAGGGTAAAGAAAGCACAAGACAGTAGGCATACAGCTCCCTCTACCCTAGGGCTTTGCAGCACCTTAAGCAACAGTGTGCCTTAAAGGTGTTCTTAACCAAGCTGTGCTTTAGGGAAACATAGCTCAGATGCTGCCTTTGTGTTCCTCAGCACATCAGCCCTCTGCAGTCTTGTGGAGCAGCATCCAAACCACTCTGCTTTGTAAAATTTAGGACTTGGGCAAAGGTTTCTGCAGGCCAAGCAGTAACCTGGCTAAGACCTTGGCTGCTGCCCCTGGTGGTTCTGCAAAATACACCTGAGGCCCTGAAATATGAAGTGTATCACGTATCTGGAGGGCCTTAGTGAGAGAGGAGAGGAGGCTTCTTGCAGAGACAATCAAGATAAACCTCAACACTAACAAGAGCATTTGGGAAACAAGCCCGCCCACACGCTGAAAGTATTTATTGCAATGGTACTGTCACTAGAAAGGTATTTACAACATTTTTAATAGGGAAAAGACATACTTGTGCTGGTGAAATGGTGCTTCAATGGCTCTGATGCATTTAGGGGCTTTGTCTAGCTGTGGTGATGAACGCCACCTTTGTAACAAACACTGGAGAGACTGGCCTGGGGTTGTTCCTACAGGGACCAGACAGAACAGGGCTGTGATGCTGAGCTTGGACATTTCAGGTGCTACAGCAAAGGCAACATTAAATTACATAAAAGACATATTGCCCAGGAAATACACCTTAAATATGAAGTTACATGGTTAGAAATGGATGCCAGCTTTATGTTAATACTCAACTTTAATTTAGAATGATGCAGGTATAGCTATGGTTCCTCAGTTACCAGAGCTGGCTGTCCACCAAGAAGCCCTTTTTGCTGGTAGACTATCACTGATCCTCATTTTTAAAGCATTCACAACCAAATTCACTGAATCTGGCTTTTTGAGCATGCAGGTCAGTGACACGATGCAGTTCAGGTGTGATTAAGGTGTTCCAAAACTGGGCTTTGTAATTCCAGTGTCAGAAATCACTGACAAGTAAAAAAAACCAGAAAGCCAGAACCAAAACTGAATCTAAACCGTTTGAAACACTGCGACATTCAAGTGTTCCCATGCACTTGACAAGAACTGAGCAGCATCAAAGGCGTTTAGGAATTCTATTTGCTTGTTTTCCCAAACTACCTAATGAAATATCAATAGCTCTGGATAAACTCACCCCAGAATACACTCAGGTTAAATTAACAAAATGAGAGGCCCCTGAGCTTAGGAAAACAGCAATAACGCTAGGTTAGAGAAGGGGGAAATCACTTTTTCTATATAGAAAGTCCATCTGTAAG